AGCAGATATTTTTATGTGATTTTAAAATTGAAAACTTAATGCAGAAAAAAAGAGACAAAATGAAGCTCTACAAAGTCTTTCAGACTCACTTTCTAGGAAATAGGCAGTGACTTTTAGTAGGAAAGTGACATTTTCATGTACAAGGATATTTCAAAAAGTTCATGAAAATATAGAATTAAAAGATAATATGAATCTTCCCATGGACTTTTTGAAGGACCCTCATACAGCAAAAGGGAAGTGGGTTTAATAAGTTTTCTAGTAATTCACCTGGAAGAAGAATAGAGTCCTGGCTCTACTGTCATTAGAAAGACCCATCTCATATCCTGCGGTTCTGCTCTATGTTTAATCCACACATTTGTAAATGTTGGTTGAGCATCTAGTATGTGACACGTACTAAACATACTGAGCATGAAGTGGAGAATAAGACTGCCACACAACTCCATCAAACTGATGTCTCCCTACTGCACAAAGCACACTTCTCAGATCCACTTTGCTTGGATTCATGAGCCAGTGCTGAGGCAAAATTCTCAATTTTCTTATATGCTGAAACTTACGTTGAGCCAGCTTTCCAGCTCTAGTTGCCAAGTGATAACTTCTCTGCTTGCAAACTGTGTCACCATGAAGCTCCATTGTCAGCAATCAGACCCTTAGACAGGCTAACAGTCAACCAGGTCCCATCGGTACAGGCGTCTGGTTGTTAGAATACTGAGATGCACCAAAATGCTTCTTTCAGGGCATAAGTGGAATCCAAAAAGCTGTAATGTAAAGTTAATCAGTTTGAGGGAGGGGTGGGAGGGGATCCTATCTGGAGCAAATGGAAAGCAGCATTCTGCATGGATCTGAAGGGACCAACAGAAGCACAAACGCAAAGAAAATGAAATGTTTATTGCCTACAACTGATCATATACTGAACTGAGAAAGTCTCAAGGTCACATTCTAAACCCATCCACTTCAGGTGATAATGGGAACTTTGCCGGCCCGGTGGCGCACTGCTACAGTGCGCCGCTTGGGAAGCGCGGCGGCGCTCCCGCCAAGGGTTCGGATCCCACATACAGACCGGCCGCTCACTGGCTGAGCGGGGAGTGGGGGCAACGCCAAGGGTTGCGATCCCGTTGCCGGTCCCGGTCCAGTACGGGCGCGACACTGAGGGTTGCGATCCGTTGCCGGTCACGAAAAAAGACAAAAAGACAAAAAAAGAAAAAAGAAAAAAAAAAAGACATCCTGTTCTGAAGAGTGGGGCAGGGGACAGAAGACAAACCTTAATACCATCTTCTGCCCCCAGCCTCCCTAGAATCCAACAGCTAAAAGGTGAATGCTTGGCATACAAGGGGGCTTGAGGATCCTGTTCCAGCACTACCTATGGCCTTTCTGATTCAGTCCTCCTGGGAAATACCCATCCCTATGCCCTCCTGCGAACCCAGGGTTGGGGGATCTCACCCCCTCCCTCCTTTCTTGTCACCCAAATAACTGGACCTTGGCAGAAAGAACTCATGTCTCTAAGCCTTAAAAGTTAAGTCTAGCACTCACTGGCCAGAGTTGTCCTCTTCTGGCCTCCAGGGACCTGGCTGGCATAGTTTAGTGAGAGGACACCACAGGCTGCCTCTGGACCCAGTGGACTCTGCTGGCACTTCAGGCATTCTTGTGAAGAACACCCGAGAATATTGACGGGTCCGTGACAATACGGGACTAGGGGATGCCCAGGATGTGGGTTCTACTTATCGTAATTTCCTATTAAATTTCACCTCCATTTAATGGAAGGAATTTGTTGAAAACCCACATGCTCACCAGGAGGAGCATTAACAGCATTAATTTTATTAAGAAAACTGAGAGCTAATACCTATATAGCATTCGCTGTATGCCAGGCATCATTCTTATATATTACTCACTGATATAGAGTACGAAGAACCTTCACCCCCATTTTACAGATAGGAAAAATGAGGTATGGAAAAGTTATATAAAACCCGGGTGATAGAGCCATGATTCTAATCTCAGCAACCACAGGAGACAGTGCCTCACCTCCTGCTTGAAGGACTGGTGTGAACTGATTAAATATGACAGTCAAACTATTTTGATAGATCTACGGAAATTATTAAAAAACTGGCAGTGTTATATGAGCTAGGAAATTTTTTAATGTAATTTTTGTTAGTTTAGTAAAAACTATATATCATCAACAGTAATGCTATGGTGAAATTTTTTACTTATTGAGATCACATTACTGTTTATTTAATGGGCCAAGATATTGGAAGAAGAATGAGACGATAAGTTTTGGATATCTGATGAAAAATTGGCATTTTTAATTTTAATTTGGTAATTTAATATCTATATATCAGTAAGTGGTTTATTATAAATATAGTTTAGGGACTAAAAAGGCATTTTTTTTTTTTTTTTTGGCAGCTGGCCAGTACTAGAAAGACATTTTGTAAATTAATGAATTACATATAAGTATATATTAACATATCAGTTGCCATAGGTCTGGTGTGTCTTTTGTGGACCAGGAATCTTCCATACTCTCTTTTTGGCTGGCCTACTCTGTGGGCCCAGGGGGTAGGGGTGGTACATTTCTCCTAATGGGAAGCACTAAAGCGTAGACTCTATGTAAGGGTATTAGCCCATTTTCTGCTGCTTATAACAGAATATCTGAAACTGGGTAATCTGTAAAGAAACAAACTTTGTTTCTTACAGTTTTGGAGGCTGGGAAGTCCACAGCCCAGGAGGTGCATCTGATGAGGACCTTCTTCTGGGTGGGAACTCTCTACAGGGTCCCTCGGTGACCAGGGTGTCACGTGGTGAGAATGAGCTGGGCAAGAGACAACTAACCTTCTCACTCGCTCTCCTTATAAAGTCATCAGAACCATGCTCATTACTCCATGAATGGATCAATCCATTCATGAGGGAACAGTCCTCACGATCTAATCACATCTTAAAGGCCCCCCCGCCTTTTAAATACCATAATTGGATTTCCCATCCTCTTAGCACTGCTACAATGGGGGTCAAGTGTCAATAAGTTTTGGGGGGACATTCAATCCACAGCAGTATGCACAGAGCACTTGACAGTGATGCTGTGGAGGAGATTTAAGCTCTGAGAAGTATTGACTTTTCTGTGCAGGATCAGCTACATATTTTGCAGGACCGTTTGCTCAGAAACTATTAGACATTTCAAGATGGCGACAGTAGAGAATTAAGCCAAGCATTGGGCCCATCTGAACATGGAGCTGTATGTGACTTCACAGGTCACCTACCCAGGAAGCTGGCCCTGTTTCCATGTAATATGCTTTTTGTTTTCTTTTCTTTGTGGTGTTTTTTTTTTGTTGTTGTTGTTTTCTTTGTGGGTTTTTTTTTTTTTTTTTTTTGGCAGCTGGCCAGTTACAGGGATTGAACCCTGGACCTTGGTGTTATCAGCACCGTGCTCTAACCAAGTGAGCTAACAAGCCAGCCCTCCATATTATACAAATTTGGAATTTAGAGACACACTGCATCAAGAATTGTATTGTTAAAAGTGAAGAGAATGACAGGAGGGTTACAGGGGAGTTGTGATACTGTGATATCATAAGAAATATGTGTTTAATCTCTGCCCCTGGTTCCTGGCTCAGACCACTTAAAAACCCTTGTAATTTCCTGAGCAATAGGGGTAGTAGGTGCATCTTTTGTTTTAATATTTGGTCTTTGATCCTGACTCCTGACACAGAACCCCTAATCCCTTGGAATTTCCTGGGTGACAGGAGGATCTTTTGTTCTAACGAGGCCACTCTTGATGGGGACTGGTCACCAGAAAGACTGGGCCATTATTAGAAGCTTGGAATTTTTAGCCCCACCCTCCATCCTCTGGGTAGGGAAGAGGCGCTGGACATTGAGTTAATAACCGATCATGCCTATATGATGAAGCTTCTATAAAAATCCCTGAGCCTTGGGATTCATCGTGAACATTGAACACTTCCACGTGCCAGGACGGTGGTACTCCCACCTTCCATGAGGACAGAAGCTCCTGCACTTGGTACTCTTTCAGGCTTCACCCTGTATCGTTTCATCTGGCTGTTCATCTGCATCCTGTATCATATCCTTTATTAATATAACTAACTGGTAAATGTGTTTCCCTGAGTTCTGTGAGCTATGCTAGCAAATGAAAAGCCCGAGGAGAGAGCAGAGAGTCTTGGGAGACACATTTACAGTTGGTTCTCAAAAGTACAGGTGACAACCTACTCACTACCTGTGATTGACATCTGAAGTGGGAGCAGTCTTGTGGACTGAGCTCTACCTGTGGGACCTGACTCTAACACCAAGTAGATAGTGTTGGAATTTAATTGAATTGTAGGCCACCCAGCCAGTGTCTGCTGGGTCATTGCTGGGTGTGTGGGGACCCCCCGGGGACCCCCCCACACACACACACATCTGGTGTCAGAAGTTTTGAGTGCTGAGTGCGTGAGAGTAGCAAAAACACTTTAATTATTCTTATCCCAAACAGGAGTAAAAACAAATTTCTAGAAAACAGTAACTGAATAAAAGCATGCTGACAAATGAAGAAGAAATTGCAGCCCAAAATAACTTCAAGAGAGAAATCTCTGTTCCTAGTGTTTTCTGGCTGTGGGGCTGACAGCGCGCAGTGTGAGAAGGTGACAGATCAGAGATTTACTTCTAGCTTGTCCAGAACCCATCCTCAGCTACATCCTCGCGCAAGCAGTCGCTCACCCAACTTCCCCACTTCCGCCCACAGCACTCTGCGCTTCCACAAACCAACTGAGCATGCGCCAATACTAGTACGCAAGCGCCTATTCGGTCCAATCAGAAACCCAAAACCAAGGGGATTCCTTGCGCATGGACTAACCCCGGCATGGGGCGGAGTCTCGAAACCAAATAGCGGATGTGATTGGCCGGCCTCTGGGTCTCCCATTTTTTTATGGGCGTAGCCTCGCCCGTGAGACACGTCTAGTGAACTGTTCTCCTAATTTGGGAAGGGTCGGGCGCGGGCGGGGCGTGGAGCTGCGAGTGGCCCCGTGTGCGCCTGCGCTGAGCTCTGGGCCAGGGCGTGTTCTTTGTCCGGGGGCTCGTTTGGCACAGTCGTGTGCGTCTCTCGCCACCGGGGTTCGTCCCGCGGAAGCCTGTCGTCCCACCCCACCCGGACAGGTGCTGCCCTCCGCGGTGAGTGTGTGTGGCGTTGCACGTGGGTTGCTTCTCCCTGCGCGGCAGGAACGGTGCTGGATCCTTCCCTCTCCCCCGTCCCTCCCTGCCCCGCCCTGTCCCGTCCTCCTTCCCGCTCCCAGACCCTGCCCTCTGATGCCTGAGGGAAAACTGGAGAGTGGCAGCAGGAGGGTTCTTTCCTTTCTGTCCCTGCACCTTGCTGCCATCGCCCACGCGCTTCGTTGTTGTCCTTTGCTACAGACCATGTCCAAGTCTCTCAAAAAGTTGGTGGAGGAGAGTCGGGAGAAGAGCCAGCCGGAAGTGGACATGAGCGACCGGGGCATCTCTAACATGCTGGATGTCAACGGCTTGTGTAAGTTTTCGGATAGGGCCTTCCCCTGGGATGAGCTGGAAGAGTTGCTAAGTTTGCCAAGGAACTGTTGGTCCTGGGATGAGCGATGATGGTGGTTTAGATCCCAGCCCTGCTCGTACACATCACTGGTCGGTAGCTTCTCTCGGAAGGTTTGCAATCACAATTTGTTGTGTTTCAGCTGGAAAATGAACACGAGAGTCCAGGGTGAGAATCACTCAGACAGTTGCTGCCGTGCTTCATCAGTTGTCTGGGCTGACTTACGGCATTTGGGTGGGTGTTCCGCACAGTTTACTTAACAGCCACTTTATTTTTTAATTGAGAATCGTTTTTGAGTCATTCTTTCTTTCTCCTAGTATAGTCTTTGTCCATGAACAAATGTCACACAAAAGTTACATGGGTAATAAGCATTCTTGTGTCTGTAGTATTTTAAGTATTTCTTGACTCTACTTTTTCTGGGTCTGTATTTTCCTTAGTTAGGCTTTTGTTACTTCTTGTGCTGTTGTGATGTTTTCCTAACTTGCCGTCTTGCCTCCGGTTTAATCACTGTACTGCTTTCAGTGTTATTTTCCTGTAATACCCATTTTATTGTGTTATCCTCTCCCTTAAAATCAGGGATTGCAAACTGAAATGCCTCCAGGTAAAGGTGGTCATGAATTCCATGTGTCTCCATCTGAACAGGGCAGCTGCTGCACCTGCTACCCGGATCCAAAGAGTTGTCACCATGTGGAGGGAGGTATTGGCCCAATGTTGCCAGATCTTTTTTAAAATTTTTTTTAAGAAGCCAAGAATTCAGACTTTTATGTGAAATTTCCTAATTTTTAGATATTGGCAACTAATTTTGATATTTGAAAAACATTTTAAAAAGAAAATGAAACTCTTCTCCCGGCTGAATATGACTTGGGTTGAGACTTTCTTCTTTAAACACTTTTCCATTATCAACAGTAACGCAAGCTCTACGGTTTGACAGACAAGGCCTTTCTGAATCTGACCACAACCTTATCTCTTCCATACATTTAGCATCCCAGCCATACTAGAGCATACTCATTCAGATCTTTGTGCCTTTGCAAGTAAGATTGTCCCTCCTCCCCACTCTTTTTCCCCTGAAATCTTTTTTACTTATCTGTCAAGAGACAGCTCAGATGCAAAGCCTGCTCTGTACAAAGCTGCTGACACATGTTCACTCCTGTGAAGTTTCCCATGCCTCCCTTCATGCCTTCCTCCTGTTACAAAGGATTGTAAATTTTTTTTATCTTTAAGTTTCTCTTCCCCACTGGAAGATTGGTGGGGTGGGCAGGGTGGGGAGTTGGGGGGGGCACTGCACTAAAGTTGTGCAGTGTTCATGTTTGCATTCTTTATAATAGTGCCTGGAACACAGCAGGTGCTCAGAAGCTTGTGATGAATGAAAGAGAATGATGGGTTAGGCCTGCATGTGTGTGAGATCCAGACCAGGATGTGACAACGGAGATGAAAGGGAGGTGTCCCAGAGACCCTAAAAGATGATTTATTGCTCAATAGGCAGGGAGAGAGCAGAATTAGGTTTGCTATATCCATGATTTGTGCCTGGGACAGAGATTGGGGTTTATGCAATTGATATTCCAAGAATATATGGAAAAAACTCAAGTGTTTTTCCTATACTCTTACTCAGCAACAGTCAACACAGAAGACAGACTTCCGTAACCACATATGGGATTTCTCCCCACCAGCAAGCAAGCAACCAACTCTCCAGCCAACATCAGCTGGGTGTCCTCCAATTCAAATCTATTCTGACACTATCTATCTGGAGATAGCCTCAGATCCCACAGATTGGGGCTCAGTCCCCAAGACTACCCCCACTTCAAATCCTAGTAGTAAGTCCAAGCACTTGGAACTTTTGACCAACGAGCTATAAGTCGGGGTTCCCACAGCCCCTTCCTTGAGTTTGATTGGTTTTCTGATTGGCTTACAGAACTCGGGGAAACACATACTCATGTTTATCCATTTATTATAAAGGTATTACAAAAGATGCAGATGTAGAGAGGCACACGGCGAGATATTGGGGGAAGGGGCATGAAGCTCCCTGTAGGCACCAACTTCCAAGAACCTCCAGGGTGGGTAGTAGTGTTCGCCTATCTGCAAGCTCTCTGAACCCAGTCCTCTTGGGTTTTTATGGAGACTTTCTTACATAGATATAATTGATAAAATCATTGGCCACTGGCAATCAACTTAACCTTCAGTCCCTCTCCCCTTCCTGAAGGTTAGGGGCTGGGGCTGAAAGTCCTAACCCTCTGATCCTGTTTTGGTCTTTCTGGTGACCAGTGCCTCAATTCAGAAGCTACCTAGGGGCTGCCAGCCACCAGTCAACTTGTTAGTATACAAAAAGATACCACTTTGGAGATTCTAAGCATTTTAGTTGTGTGCCATAAAATGGGCAGGAATGGGATAAAGACCAAAGATATACTGTATTTCAGAATATCATAGATATGTCTGGCAAAAGGAAAAGGGATGAAAAGTGTAGATGGAATCATGAAGATACCACTGTTCACTTAGGTTTTGTAGTAGTTGGTCTCTCACAGTAGGGACGGATTCTTGAGGTCAGCAACAGAGCAGATGTCTCTGGTACTGAATTGGCAGCTGAGGATCTGGACATGCTCAGTGCTGCCCCTTCCCCTCTGGTTGCTGTCGAGGAAGAGGAGGGTGAGCCTAAAGCAGGAGGCCCAGCACAGCTGTCCTCTTGGCCACGTGGTTTTCTGCCCTTCAGACCCTTTCTCTCATGGGGTTGAAGAGAGAGGTTGCTTTCAGCCAAACAGCTCTGTAATCCTCAGCTTTTGAAGAGGAGACTTTATGTAATATTTATAAGTGGGGAGAGTGGCTTAGCTATTTCAGTTTAGCTCCATTATCTCTTTGAAGACTTGGCTTTTATTAAAGAATAAAAGATAGCCACTTGCTTCCTGAATATAATGTTTCCGGTGTAACACTGGGTGGTAAGAAGCAATATTCCTCTTAAATTTTCCCAGAGGAGTAGCTAAGGAAGAGCAACAGTACTTCTCTGGGAATTTCAGTGTAAGTGAATTTGGAGATTCCACCTCCCCTGGCTTCTGTAGTGTTGACCCAAGGAATGGCCGCTTTCTGCTAATCCCCTGACCTCTGGGCTCTTTGGGGCCTGCAGAGTTCCAGAACATTCTTCACAAGCCCATTCCTCAACAGAGGCTCATTTATCGGTAGTGCACACAATGCTTAGTATATACATTCAGTAAAACATTTGAAAGGGTTACGTTAACTGTAATATAAGAATTCCTATTATTCTTTTACTTATAAAAATTTAATTTATAGGAATGAAGTTTTATGTATTAGTATCCAGACTAAACACAGAGAACTTTCATGTACAGAGAATGGTTATTTCTTGCATCTCAGGCTTTCCCTTCATTACCCTTACTTTCTTTAATTTCTCAAGAGATAAGCAAGAATTAGGAATGGAGTTTTACACCTCTCAGCATAAGAAATGCCCGTCTTTCTGCTTGGGAGGGTTGTGTCTTATAAACACAGTACTTTACTTCCTCAGAGAGAGTAAATTACCTTTTAGACATGTTTTGAGGAGTTTAGGTACCAAGAGCTTTCTGATGGGGAAAAACCCAGGCTGGAGACAGACATCAGGCAGGTTCTCCAGTTTTCTGCCAGCCAGATGCTAGATATGCTCAGATCCTCCGCTGAGAGGTGGGTGGGTATAGCACTTATGAGCGTGGCCTTGGAGTTGGGTAGACTGGGTTCACATCCTGCTTACTACTGTGTATCCTTAGAGAAGCTTCTTAACCTTCCTGAGCCTCAGGTTCCTCATAGTCAAATAACGTTAATAGCCACTTCGTAGGACTGGTTTAGTCTAAATGCATTAATACACATTACTCTTAATGTGAATATCCAGTTAGAAAGAAGCCTGGAAACCTAAAGCATAAGCAGTTCCAACATAGTCAATTGCCTAAACCAAGAATTTTGCTTGATTAATTAGACGGGGTAAAGCATCTGTGTCCTGTTGGTGTTTTTTATGTGACTTACTAGAATCTGGAGTGTTTGGTACTTTTGCCTAGGATTCTAATAGAATTGGGGAGTTGCTTCTTTGAAATTTGTCCCAATTTTCTTTTCCATTATTTTTTTTTCTACCTGCTATGTAATCTACACACATGCATTCTCCTTAAAGCTTTCAAGAGCAATGGTGCCAACTTATTCTTTTTATGAAGGAGATTTCACTGTACAAACTGTCTCCCAAACTGCAACTGTCTTCACCTTAATGATAAAGTTGCTTTTGAAGGGTCCTGTAATCAGCTTCCATAGTGGCAGAGAATCCCAGCAGTAGACAGGGGGACTTTCTTTCATTTCTTTTACTTTAAGTGTTTTGTGACTTTTTAATCTCTTCAAGTTTATTGCTTTCTGGGTAGTCAAGCCTATATCAGTTTTTTTCATTTTTTTCTTTTTTCAGATTAGACTAAAATATCTGTCAGTTAAATCTTTAGAAAGAAAAATAACCCGCTACCGAGGGAGTGGTCTTTCTAAAAGACCATGCAAAATAATCAACAAACATAATCATGGGTTATTTGGAAGTGCTATTTCAAAAGCTCTGTTAAACCTGGAAGTGGTCATACCATTTGGGAATATATTTTATCAGTTTAGGCTGCCTTTGGGGGACAGATAAAAGAGCTTGGAAGAAAATATGATTTTAGCTATAATCTTTTAAAAAATCTTTTATTTTTTAAGTCCTCTCAGTTGTGCGTATATGCCCACCTTTGTTTTTAAGAATGCAGTATCTTGACCTGGGAATTCCTTTTCCTTTTTCTCTTTCTACCTAACCTCTTTACCCCCTTGTCAGTCATTGCTTGTTGAAAGAATAAATGACTTATCTGTCCTCCTGACTCTATTATTATGTCACCTCTTCTGGGAGAGTCCCCAGTATACTAAATTTTAACCCATTGCCCCAACCAACGTGGCTTAAGTATCTCTTCTGTGCCCGCTGTACTTAGCATAGTGCTGGGGGA